CGGGACAGCCCGTTATGTGGGACTCGGGTCGTTACAATCATCATCCTTCCACCTCGAGAAATAATACAGCTTTCAACATCTTCTCAGACATTCCCTTAATTGCCATACATCTACACTGCAGATTGCGAATGACCACATAATAAAAAAAGAAAAAAGGCACCACAGATAAGAAATAAAAGAAATCGCACAAATTAGGGATAAAAACAAAAACCCAAATCAAGAAAAAGCAGAAAACGATCATTTGCATTACAAAAAAATTCATGTAACATGTCCAAACTCAAAAGGAATTTCTCACCTCAAAATTTCCTTTGCGTGGATAAACCGAAAACGCTGCTACTATTCAGTCTTCAGACCATGACACATTGGCATCAACAACAAACATGGGACGTGCGAGTGGATGCAAGGCGTGAGAGATGCAGCCTTGGTGTTGTAATTTGCATGCGAGAGGAAGGGCGTGCGAGAGGCAGGGCGTCTTCCTTCTCAATTTTTTGTTTAACTTGGTGTTCAATTGATTAGAGATTGAAATGTTTTTTCTATCAGGGCCGAATTGGGCCAAATAATTGGCCCATTTACATTTTCCCCCTTTTTTCACGGCTTGAAATCCATTTGGTTTTTAAGGCGTGCATTTTGCATGCCATAAATAATTTTTTCACGGCGTGAAATCCATTTGATTTTTACGGCGTGCATTTTGCATGCCGTAAATAATCTTGTTATTACTTGTTAGATTTTTACGCCGTAAATACTTTATACAATTGATCATTTACGGCACGCGTTAATTGCACACCGTAAGCATATGACGTAAAAGCTCCTTTCGTTGTAGTGTAATAACAAGAGAAGCATGTTCAGATGGTAGTTCAATCTATACAACATTTATCACTTCAAACTTGGTGACATCAAGTTCGTGATATTGTACTTCATTATCATTACTCCTGTACTTTTTTCTCTGTACAATTGCTTCATATGTAGTTTCAATAAAATTTAATAGTTATAAAAAGTCACCAATCATCTTTGACTGAATTGAGTCTTTGGAAGCTTCTGATTTTTATTGACGTGATGTATTAAAGTTTTGTTTGTTCTAAATCAAATTATTCAGATATGGATAATGAATATTTTCGAACATTACATCAGAAGTTAGAAAAAATGGATGGTTCGACTTACAATTAGGGTCGAATTTAGCCCTGGTACCAAAAGGTCTAGTTAAGAATATACTTGGGGTTAGGCTCAAAATATCTTTCTAATTTGGGGGTCATACCAGCCCCGGCTACTAACCAACCAATATAGGGGACAAGTCGGTCTAACCTGTCATTTTTGTGTTTTGAGTACGTGGATTTGGACCTAGACACCGGAGACTAGAAAATTTAAATCGAGTGATATATCATGTTCTCCATTTTTCTCCATCATCATTCCGTGTCAAACGATTCACACTTATTTCTAACAGCTTTGAGACGTTTTTATTTCTCCTTTCTTGGCTGCCGTATGAACAGCACTTAGAAAAAATACAAGCGAACGCTCCAAGAATATTTCAACACTTCTTTAAATTCTTTCTGTCTACGTCCCTTTCTCCTTGGACTTTTTTGCTTGACTCACACAAGAGTCCACAAATTCAACACCACCACAAAATATATACACATTTATCCACAAATTTCCGGCTCCGTGCAAAAAGCTACACTTTTTTTTTCCAACATTTTTGTACATTGATTGACAGTTTAAATTTCATTATTAAAAACCCAAATACCCATGTATATCATTTCTTAAAAGTATATTGGAGTAAAATGAGAATAATAATTAAAAAAAAATTCAAAGAAAAAAATGGAATATAAAGCTTATTGGTATTCAATTCACTGGAAAGTTTGAGCTGCTAACTTTATTGTTTCCATTGCTATTATTGTTGCTAGTGGTAACGCTACCGCCGTTGTTGCTGGTGGTGGTGGCTGCGACGTTTGTGGCAATATTGTTGGCATTGTTTGGATGTGAATTCCCAATAAGGGATGTAATGGCTGCTGCCAATGCAGCAGTGAAGTTTGGATCTGCTGCCAGTGTATACATTGTATCAGCAAGTTGGTTTTGTTGGCCTTGGTGCATCGCGACCGGGAGTGACGGCGTGGCCTGGTGACCTCCTTCCATGTCCTGTGACATTTGGAGACCAGAAAACTTGGATTGGTTGTGTAATGCCTGGCTGAAGATTTGCGGTAGAAGGGCTGCTGGATTGCTAGAAAAACTGTGGGCGGCATTAGGGAATGATAATTGGAATTCGTTTTGAGATCTTGGGAATTGTAAGGGATTTGGAGTTTGAGTTAAGTCCAATGTAACAGTAGGAAAAGGCGCGGATGCGGATATGGTGGCCATGCTGGAGGAGCAAGGGAAGAGGGTGCGGGCGAGGAAATTTGAGTTGATTAGGCCATCGGCACTTGGCATTGAACCGGAGAGTAGCATTCTTGCAGCTGAAGATGTAGTCGATGCCATTGCTATGGCTGCTGGGGGCAATGGGTGGTTGTGATTGCCTTCATAGGTTGTTATTAGGATGGTTCTGTCTTCTGCACATCTTTGTACCTGTCAGGACAATGTTAAAGACGAAAAAAGTCAAAATCTTGTATACTGTAATGTCAAATGCTGTGTACACAACATGCTCGAAGGGAACAACTTGCTAGTACACTTGCTGTATTTTGATGCGTTGGACCGTACTAGATACAGGATGAGATAACTGACTAATTTTCACATATTTCTCCATCTTAATCATGTTGTCTAGTCCAAAACAAACCTGCCTTAATGACTGAAAATTTTCAAAGATTGGCAGGTAAAAACTGAATAGAGCAGTGAACTTGCCTCTGTATGCATATTAAAATAATGTGAATTCTTGTAAGGAATTAGTAAACCATTTATTGATATTGAAATTACTATAATATCTTGGTCGTTTAAAAGTTAGACATACTTGTTTTCGAACCGGGCAACCAGCAGCCATGGTGCATCTATAATATGCCCGAGGACACGGGTTTCCCTTTGCCATTTTCTGCCCATACTTGCGCCATTGGCATCCATCCGTGATCTGAAAACAACCAAATTTTTCAATGGCATAGTCTATTCAATGTTAAGAACGAGATTTAATTTGTCGTTATGTATACTAGGTTCAATCACGTACCATTGGAGCCTCTGATCGGGCTCTAACAGAAACTCGGGCCTTCCTCATAGTAGCCTCGGCTGCTTGATCGATGTTTTTCGGAGAATAGCCCCAACCATGTGACCCCTTGTCTGAAATCTCCTCTCGCCCAATTTCCTTCGAAAATCCATCGATATTATTCATGGGGGATCGTGATCGGTCCGGGCAGCTCCTCCCCTCAGACGACGATAATGAAGCCTCTTCCGTCTTGGCAGCTAGTCCAAGATCCATAAATTGTCTAGGCACCACAAATCCATTACTTTTTTTATGTTGCTTATTAGTATCATCCACTAGTTTTCCTCCATGTTCTTCTGTTATACCATTATCATCATGAGCAGTTCTCTGATGATCTCTTTCATGTTGTTGCATCAGTGTCATCAGATGTATCTGGAGAGTGTTGTAGTTGTTTGTTACTTGATTCAACGTGTCCTTTAGACGAAGATTTTCTGAATTCATTCTTTCCATTTCAGCTCGAAGGACAACCATCTAAATCGATTAACATTTAAAACAAGTCAATATATTGTCTAGCTCTATTCAGTATCGTCAAAACTCAAAAAGTACATATACAACTAATCTCACCTCACTTTTTGATATTTTATCTACTGAATTCGGAGAAATCCCGTCGTCCACTATGGACTGATCACTACTAGTGTTGGCAGTGAGAAGATGCAAACCAGTCTATATATATAAAACAAGAATTCTTAAGCACACAAACCAAACTGATCAATATTAAACGAACAGTACTAAGAAAATCTTACATTTACATTGAAATCCAATTGTGCGTGTGCACTCAAATCCTTTTTGTTGATATCTTCATCATCGTCAGTGCCTGTTTTCGACTCGTCATCGTCTTTCTTGTTGGCAAAGAAATCCATTTCATTGATAACATTTCTTTTCTCATCAGAAGGCAATAGGTTGACCGGGAATTGCTCCATGGACAATAAAGACAAAGTGGGTGGTTCAAAGTGGTGGAGGCGATGGCGGTTGTGGTGGCGGAGGTGGTGGTTAGTAGAGAAAGGGATGTGAGGGAGTGGAGTGGGATTGGCCATATAAGAAGAGAAAACAGATAGAGCGAGAGAAGGGGTGTAGGAACTGGAAGGCTTCTAATTGAGCAGATGACTCGGCAATAAAAAGGGAGTGACTAGAAATTGAAGACCAAATACAAATAATGTGTGAGATTTTGACATGGGACTTGCCTAGTCCATTTTTCTTCTTCTATACACATATTACTAGTTATCAATTAAAACATTAACAAAAATTACTCAAGTTTTTTTATCATGTGATTTAATAATGTATCAGAATTCAATAAACTCCAACAATAAATTCAGTCCATCGAGCAGTTTAAATTTTAGATCACATAGTTTAATAAGGTATCAATGTCCAATAAGTTTAAACTAGCAATTTGATCGATTTAAAGCTCAATTGGGTAGTCGGAATCCAAGATTGATATATTTAAACAAGACTAATTTGTAGAGGGATGTTAAAGAATTAATTTTGCATCGATTAAATATTTAAATAAGAAAAAACATATAAGAGTTTGGACTCTCTCTCATAATAAGGTTGAATTTTACTAAAAATTATGTACGTGCAAGACTTTAACTGGAAAAATAACTCTGGTGTGCACATAAGGGATATGGTGAAAATAGTATTCAAATTAGGGTTAATTTCACAAATGGTCACTGAAGTTACGTCAAAATAACAAAACGGTCACTGAAGTTCCAAAATTGCACCAACGGTCACTGAAGTTCCACCCGATTTCAAGAATGGTCACTGAAGGACCAAATGAGTTGAAGCGTGAAAGATAAGGACCTGCGTCGCAAATTTGATAAAAGCCTTCCTCTCCAAGTTTTTCCGGCAATTTTGCACCCAAATTCCGGCGAGTTCCGACCACCTAAACAGCTGGAAATTAGAACCGGTCGAAAGTACTCATCGTCCTCTTCAATTAGCATCTAACCTCTCCCAATTTCATCAAGTTANTCGGAATCCATGGTCAAAACCTCACTGCCGGAAAATCTGAAAATCGCCAATAACTCGAGCTCATGGCGAAATTGGCGAAGACCCATACCTGGGCAAGCTTCTCCAGGTGAAGAGGAAGAAATCCCCGGTGGTCGCGACCCATATCTTGGTCGGACGGCGCCGGAATCTGGGTTTTTAGCAGACCCAGTCGCGACGCCGGACCGCACAATTGGATTTCAATGTATGGGTCTTCGCCAAAACGGAGACATAATTGTAATACTCTTTCGACTACTTACCAAAAGGGGAATATAGCTTGGTATTATTGGACAATTACACATAAAATATCAATAACTTATTTATTATTAAATTTTTTTTTTATTACTGGGTAAAACTGAACAACTCTCTGTCACGACTCAAGCTCCAAACTCAGCTCATGTTTTACTGGAAAGCTTCTGTACTAGATTCAGCTAAAATCAACTGAATAATCGAACAATTAATCAAGGAAAATAGAAATTGGGGAGGGAAAAATGATGTAAAATTGAGAAGAGGTGAGAGATAAGCTTGAATTGAGAATTCAATCCAATAGCTAACAGAATTTCATAACAAATCACGTAAATGAATGCAAAGAATACATGGCTTGTGTGTATATAGGTTCCACAGAGAAAGCGTGAAACAGAGACAGATGAAAATGAGGAAAAACGTGTTTCTTTATTACAGTTAAAATTAAATCAAAACGACACCGTTTCTTGATAAACCATACGACGCCGTTTCTGATTTCGAATTTCTATTAATTCGGGTTCTTCTTCTCTTCTTCTTCCTTCTGGTTTCTTCTTCTTGTGGAGCTTCTTCTTGCTTTTCTACCTCAATTTCTCCCTCCATAACAATCCTACCCCTCACCTTGCTCTTGTCCCCAAGATCGACATTCAGGGAACTGAAACTTAATCCATTCAGAGTCCTCCCAAGTTGTATTTTCTGGTGAAGCATCTGACCAATGAATAAGCCACTGGATGGCCTGATTGTTCCTGCGTTGTACCTTGCGAGATTGAAGGATAGAAAGAGATTGATGAAGATAGTGTAGGGTCTGGTTCCCTTCTGGTAATTGAAGGACTGGTAAGACATTACTTCGAAGTTGCTTTTTCAACAAGGATACATGAAAACTAGGTGGATTTTTGTTCCTTCTAGTAGGGCCAACTGGTAGGCTACCTCTCCAATTCGTTTAACAATTTGATAAGGGCCAAAGTATCTATCATTCAGTTTGTGATGAGCTCTTTGTTCAAATGATTGCTGAGTGTAGGGGTGTAGCTTGAGGAAAACCCAATCACCTTCTTCAAAGGATCTCTATGTTCACTTCTTATCAGCATAAAGTTTCATCCTTGCCCTTTCCTGTGTCGGATTTTCCTTCAGAAGTTGATCTAGCTTGTACATTTCCTGTAACAAACTGTCAACAGCAGCTACATTAGATTGCTGATAGGGTCCTAGTGCCAGTTGAGGAGGTTTCATCCCATATAAAGCTTCAAACGGGGTCATCCTTATAGCAGTGTGATAGGTGGCATTGTACCACCATTCAGCTAGAGACAGCCATCTTTCCCATTGTTTAGGGTGCTGGTAAACTGAGCATCTTAAATACATTTCCACGCATTGGTTAACTCTTTCGGTTTGCCCATCCATTTGAGGGTGGTATGTTGTACCGTACTGCAACTTAGTCCCTAGGAGAAGGAAGAGTTCTCGCCAGAACTTGCTGGTGAAGACCTTGTCTCTGTCAGAGATTATACTAAGAGGCAAGCCATGTAATTTGTAGATGTTATCGAGGAAAAGTTGTACCACTGAGGAGGCAATAAAAGGGTGTGTCAAGGCCAAGAAATGCCCATATTTTGTGAAACAATCTACCACCACTAGAATCGCGTTTTTCCCTCCAGAGTTGGGTAATCCCTCAATAAAGTCCATGCTGATGTGACTCCATGAATGTAAAGGCTAGGGAAGGGGTTGTAATAGCCATGGGTAGGGAACATGTTCCCCTTTGCATCTTTGACAAACTTCACTTTGAAGTACCACTTGTCTGATTTCCTGTGACATTTTTAGCCAGTAAAATAGTTGTTTTGCTCGATAGAGGCTATTATGAATGCCTGAATGGCCTCCTTCGACTAAACCATGCAAATTCTGAATCAGTCTAGACCGAATGTCCCCTCCAGTGCCAACATATAACTTTCCTTTGTATTTTAATAATCCATTTTCACAAGTGAAATCATGGTCAGAATTTGGGCTGACCAACAATGATTGAATCTTCTCCTCTGCCTCCTTATCATCCTTATAGCTCCCTAGAACTTTTTCAACCCACACAGGTTGGACCACTGTAATGTAGGAAAACTCAGGAACCCCTTCATATCTCCTGGAGAGGGCATCCGTAAAAATATTATCTGCTCCCCTTTTATAAATGATTTCATAGCTGAGGCCCAAAAGTTTGGTAAGCCACTTTTGTTGGAGAAGAGTTGTGATCCTTTACTCAAGTAAGTACTTGAGTGCTTGATGATCTGTCTTAATTATAAAGTGGTGGCCCTCCAGGTACTGCCTCCACTTACAAACCGCTGTAACTAGTGCCAGTAGTTCCTTCTCGTAAATGGATAGCCCCATATTCCTAATGCCAATTGCCTTGCTTAGATATGCTAGAGGTCTCCGTCCTTGCATCAGAACTGCCCTATGCCTCCTTGACAGGCATCAGTCTCAATGATAAAAGGCTTGCTGAAATCAGGAAGGGCTAGTAGGGGAGTAGAACACATTGTGTCTTTCAACATTTCAAAAGCTGATTCTGCTATTTCAGACCATAGGAAGCTATCCTTTTTTAGTAGGTCTGTAAGTGATTTGGCTATGATTCCATAGCTTCTGACGAATTTCCTGTAGTAGCCAGTGAGACCCAGGAAACCTCTTAGTTGTTTGATGTTCACTGGCCTAGGCCACTGCCTCATTGCATTAACCTTGATGGGGTCTGCTGCCATTCCTTGTTGGTTGATGATATGTCCCAGATATTCCACCTGTTCTTGGCCAAAACTGCACTTGGATCTCTTGGTATACAACTTATGTTTTTGCAGAATTTGGAGGACTGATCTGAGATGATGGCAATGTGAAACCAGATCCTTGCTATAAACTAGAATATCATCGAAAAACACCAATACATAATCCCTCAGCTGATCCTTAAAAACTTCATTCATGAAGCTCTAAAAAGTGGTAGGAGCATTGGTGAGGCCAAAAGGCATCACTCTAAATTCGTATAACCCTTGGTGAGTTTTGAAGGCTGTTTTATATATGTCAGCCTCAGTAACCCAGATCTGGTGATACCCTGCCCTGAGATCAATTTTAGAATAAAACTTCAAATCGTTCAATTCATCTAAAAGCTCATCAATCAGAGGCATGGGTAATTTGTCTTTGATAGTGAGGCTATTCAGCTGCCTATAATCCACACAAAATCGCCATGATCCATCCTTTTTCTTAACCAAAAGTACTGGGGAAGCAAAGGGACTATTGATGTGCCTGATTATGCCACTGTCTAGCATCTCTTTTACCAATTTTTCAATCTCTGATTTCTGGATAAAGGGGCATCTATATGGTCGAATCTTGAAGGGTTGGGCAACTTCCTTCAAGGGAATGAGGTGATCATAGGTTCGAGGAGGGGGTAGACCTTTAGGTTCCTCAAACACCACAGGAAATTCATCAACCACTTCAGTTATTTGGCTAGGAATCTCTTCTCCTTTTGTCTCCGAAATAGTATAGAAGTGCCCCATAACACTATATTGCCCTTTCCTGAATAAATTGCTCAATTCCTCTCCTGCCATCATCAGTACTTGAGGTTCTGAATTGTCACACCTTAGTGTTACCTCCTCTTGTTCACGTTGAAACCTAATATAACCTTGCTTGAAATCGAATGTGACAGGCCCAAACTGGCTCATCCAGTTAACACCCACTACCATGTCACTTCCTCCTAATTTCA